AAGGCAGGGCCACCGCGTCATCTCCCGGCGCTCCAGTACGCGTCACCTCAGGCTCCGCACGTGTGTCACCCCCAGCCCTGGCTCCCACGGGACCCCCGCTCACCTTGCTGCTCCAGGAGGGCGTTCTGCCGCTTGAGGTCGTCGATGTCCTGCTGGTGCGTGTGGTTTTTCCGGCGCATGTACTGGATGTACTCTGTGGCTTTGTCCAGGATTTGGGCCCGGGATGCCTGTTGCAATAGTGGGAAAAGACAGAAGCAAGATAAAGACCTAGCCCGGTGGGGAAAGAATGGGGTTTCATCTGCCCCATCCCACCCAGAGCAGAAAGGATTTTGCTGTTGCTCTGCTGTGCCGACGTCACCAGGCAAACCAAAGCCTGGCTCTTGTCCCCACTGAGGACCCAACTGGGGACCCTCGTGGTGAGACAGAGCCTTGCTGGCACTGGGAAGGGTTGCTTCTGGACTCTGCTGATGGTATTTGGCTTGGGCTGAGAGAGCTGTCTCCAGCCAAAGTGTCCCCCACAGCAGCATCCCGAAACGAGAAGCCACCATTGCGCACGAAGGTGCCAACAGTCCCACCACCGCCTACACAGCTGCCAAGCAAAGTGCCGCTATTCCTGGCAGGCAGAGCTGCCCTGCGGCCAAGCCCACAAGATCCAGCCACGCGAGGTGGATTCACTCCCTCCGCCTTCCCAAAAAAACAGACAGTGCCAGAGGTCGGGTCTGGGCAGCTCGGGCTGGCAGCGAGCAGGCAGGGCCAGGGTGCACAAGCTGCCCCCAGGAATGCGGCTCGGCAGGCCCCGCAGGCGAGAAACCACAGCTCAGCCCTGCTGACGTGGCTTCCCGTCACTGCTGTGGAAATCCCCATCCAGCCTCAGTGCCGTGGGCCAGGACCTCAGGTGGGTGTGTGGTCAGGCTCCCACCACACTCCATAAACTCACCTTCTCTCCTTGAAGGGAAGGGACGGAGTCCCGCAGGCTGTGGAAGCTGTCCTTGATGTGGTCCCTGCGCTTGCGCTCCAGCGCGTTGTGATGAGCCCGTTTGTCAGCCTGCGAGGGAAGGGAGATGGGAGTCTGAGGGGATGGCACCATGGAGAAAACCATGACCTGTTCCCCTCTACTGTGGGTGCTGCGCCCATCAAGTCCCAGAAGTGAATGTGAAAAGCCCTGTTAGCGTTTTGGCAGCCATCCCACGTTGCCCAGTGGAGAGGGCAGGGCAGGAGGAGCCAGGTCACTGACCTTCACCCAAAAACCTGGCGCTGGCAGCTCCGGATAAGGTGCCCAGAGCCAACGGAAGAGGTTGGTTGAACCCCTGAGCCCTCCTTGGCTGGGCCACTATGCGTCCTGCTCCATGGCAGCGCAAGGGCGTGGGAAGGAGGTGGCTCTCATTGCTTTCGGTTTCTCCCGGGCCCATTGGAGCCCATGGGCAGTTTCCTGCTGCCGGGGCAGCCC